ACAGCAGGATAAAACGCACATTCCAGCTACAGCTGCTAAAAAGACTGAAAAATGGGGTGAAAAAGACGAAAGTTGCAGCAGCGAACCACAGTCGAGTACCTCAACAGTCGAAAGGGTCTCACTGCAAGAACCGAATAATAAAAACTGCCTCCCTTCCACTGGTGAACTAGATGAAGCGACGAGCGAGAGGGAAAGAGAGAAGAAAAAAAATCGAACTAGCAGCGAGCCTTCCAAGACAAAGGAGGGGGACACGTCAACATCTAAAGTGAGAAATAATGAAAAGCACGATGAAAAGCATCAGCGACAACGGGATTTGAAGAAAAAACAAGTAAATGGGTTTATACGGAGTGGCAGCTCTAGCAACGAAGGTAGCGGGTCCAAAAAGTCCAAAAACCGGGAGGACGGAGCGCTTTCCTCAAGGAAATGCAAAAAGGAGGCATGTGTTGACAAAAGTTCCACGGCTGAACAAGCGCAGGTCAGCATTTTCACATAGTAAATATTGCAACATGCGAATTGATAGTAATCTCGAAAATCCGACCTTAATGGTGCCACAGTGTATGGTATTCTCCATTTCAAACTATATGAGGTTTATTGGATCAGCTAATCCCTCCTCATCGCATCTTATAAATGACTTCTTATGCCGTAATGTTTTTTTAAGCCAGCCCATCTTATCTAATTGGCACCCAGCAGTAATTATATCACTAAGCCAGAGCGTGCCGGTGACCAGAAGTATTTCACAGAACAGCTCACCTTATTTTACCAAATCAGTGAATGATTACATTGTTTGAAAATTTCTTAACTGTTCTCAACATCCAGCTCGTTTAACAGTTTCCGGAGAGGGGGAGCCTGACTGTATGAGCGTCTCAAACCATATAATTCTGCCTCTCAACTCATTTATGTTTAATTGTCCCGGCTGCTGGTTCAGTTCACTTCCGACTCATATTCGCTACGTCCTCTAATAGTGCATTGGACAGGCCCGCATCGGCATTGGTCTTGGGCTCTCCGCACCATGCGTTCCAGTTGGAGTACATCAGCAGACTTCCAGCTGTTCTTTTGATTTGTGGACGGTACCAGTCAGCTGTTCGTTCCATCCATCTGTTTCCCATCATCGTTGTTGAAAAAAGGGCGCCGCTTCTTTTCCAAACGTACATTTCCTGCATTATGTCCTTTACACTGGAACGTGATCGCAGAACATCGTTGCTGCTGATACGCAGCTTCCGTCTCCCAATTAACTGCTGCGTTCTTGCTAGTTTTGTTTGCTCTTCAACGTGACATTCCAAGTCTTACATCCTCATCACATAATAATCTTCACATAATAGCACTTAATTCGGAATTCTTCCAGTTTTTTTTTTTTTTTTTTCTAGAATAATCTACACAGCCATTTTTGCACATCTGCACATCGTTTTCGCCTTATTTCTTTTTTGGATTTGTCTGTTTGCTGAGTTTCCAGCCTTCCCAGCCTTAATTTAAGATCTGTGATTTTTGCAGTAGAGGTCAAAGAATGAAGTTTTTTTTTCCAGTCTTCTAGAAAATTTACTACTCATTCAAGTTGAAACTGATTTTAAGTTGAATGTGGATTGAAACGGATTTGAATTAGAGTAACTTTTTATTACGAAATTTTTCATTTTTATTTGAATATCATTTGATTGATTATTTTTTGAATTAAATATCGAATCGGAGCAGAAATTGTGGAGTTGAATGTACGAGTTTATTTTCCAAATCCCAATAAAAAAGAAATTAAATTTTTGAAAAATTAAACGTTTCAATATTATTATATTTTTTTTTTTTATATTATTGTAAAATATAAACAT